GGCCCTGCATAAGCTGGACCCTTTTGGAGTGGATCGTGGGATATGAGTTTATTATAATGACTCTGACCATCCTATTAGGTGAGGGGTAAATGAACAACTTATGTGTTAATTGTGTTAAAAAAAAAAAGGGTAAAAAAAGAATCGAGGCCATAATATGAGGGCTAAAGTGTAATTTCACCTCTGTTCCATAAATAATCCCCCAAATGCTAGAACGGAACCAAAAAAAAAAAAGGCAGATAGAATGGCAACATCCCTGAGCACACCGAAGCTAAGCACCACCTTCACCTTCACCTTCGCTTCCCCAACGCTCCAAACCCTCTGCAAAAGATTCCCTGTCTTTGTCTCTCCTCACTCTTCTGGCCCTCTGTCAGACACCAAAGCCCTAGACTCTCTCTCACATCGCCGCCAATCTTTCTCTCGCTACCGTCGATTCAGCACTCGAGCTGAGTCCACTAATGGAGCGGAGCCACCGAGCCACTACGATTTCGACCTCTTCACCATCGGCGCCGGCAGCGGTGGAGTTAGGGCTTCGCGTTTCGCTGCCAATTTCGGCGCTTCCGTTGCCGTTTGCGAACTTCCTTTCGCCACTATATCTTCCGACAACACTGGAGGTGTTGGTGGGACGTAAGTTTCAAATTATTTTTCGCTTCGTAGTGATGGGGTAATTATTTTCTTTTATTTTTTTTGTTGTTGAGTGATATACTAGGCATAATTCAAAACACTCCACTATTATTTTGCAAGTAAGAAAGACAATCAATTTGGGCAAAACAAATGAGGCTACTTTGGGAATGACGCGTAATTTCTCATGGTTGTGGGAATTGGTGGGCAGTAATGTTTTGTTTATCAATTATCTTACCAAGTTTTTCATCCAAGTGTGACACAAGGACTCACTTATTTAATGATAAAAACTGTCACTTCACTTGGGATAGAAAACTTGGTAAGAAATCTTTGTCAACTGTTGAGTAGTGAGTAGGCGAAATAAAAACTATTTGTTTGTTTTTGATGAGATGATTTGATGAACTCAAGAAAATAAAAAGGGTCTTTAAAGAGGTTTTTACTTATTTTGAAGTGGTTTAAGGACCAATGCCTACTTTTTCCATAAAAGCAAAAAAAAAAAACTTGCTTTGGGTTTAAGGTTTCACAAATTTTAGGGAATTTGTACGCTAGATTGATTATATTGAATGAAATTAGTGAAATGCATAACTTATGAAATTGCTTTGGGGAGAGCAAAATGGATATATTTGTATATTTTTGATTGGAAATTGTTCCATTGAATAGTTTTCTTCCCATTTTAATTGTCATATTATTGTGCTCCAAAGACCTCTGGTGACTTTCTGATGATGTTAGATGAATTTCCAATGAAGGTGTGTACTTCGCGGATGTGTACCTAAGAAACTACTTGTGTTTGCCTCCAAATATTCTCATGAATTTGAGGAGAGCAACGGTTTTGGATGGACTTATGAAACTGAACCCAAGCATGATTGGAGCACCCTGATGTCTAATAAGAATGCTGAGTTGCAACGGCTTACTGGTATCTACAAGAACATTCTGAAAAATGCTGGTGTCACACTAATTGAAGGGCGTGGAAAGGTTAGATCATGGATGATGTCATGTTGCCATATAAAGAGTTCAACAAAGTTGTTTAGCCCTCTCAAAACACCCTTAATGTGCATTCATATTTTAAATATTTTTCATAATCAACACATACTTGGTGATATACACAGATTGTCGATCCACACACAGTGGATGTTGATGGAAAACTCTACTCAACAAAGAACATCCTAATTTCTGTAGGGGGCCGCCCCTTCATTCCCAAAATTCCTGGAAGTGAATATGCTATCGATTCAGATGCTGCCCTTGATTTGCCATCAAAACCTAAAAAAATTGCTATAATTGGGGGCGGGTACATTGCAGTTGAGTTTGCAGGCATCTTCAATGGTTTGACCAGTGAGGTCCATGTATTCATACGACAAAAGCAGGTTTTAAGAGGCTTTGATGAGGAGGTATATCAATTACATAATTCTTGTGTTGTTTGGGTAATTCATATTTGTTGCAGGAGTTTCCTTCATGCCACAAAACTTACATGTTTTGAACTGTGCAGATTAGGGATTTTGTTGGAGAACAGATGGCTTTACGAGGAATCGAGTTCCATACAGAGGAGTCACCTCAAGCTATTGTCAAATCAGCAGACGGTTTGCTGGCCTTGAAGACTAACAAAGGAACAGTTGAAGGTTTCTCACATATCATGTTTGCGACAGGACGCAGGCCTAACACAAAGGTTTGAATTCTTTTTGTGTGGTTGGCTGATTCCCTGTATCAGCTCTTCAAGTTCTTTGATGTATGAATTGAAAAGTGGCAGAAGGCATGGGTGTCATTCCCTATATTTTATTGGGAGAAAGAAGCTAGTTTTTTTTTTACTTTCTTTGTCTTAAGTGATGGAAAGGACTCCATAAATGTTTCTGGTCAACGTGCTTGAAGATTCTTGTGTGTGGAGCATAGTTGTTAAATCGCGATTCGTATCGTGAATCGGAATCCTAAATTTGAGAATTGTGAATCGTAAGATTCAACACAAAATTTGAACAAAAATAAAAAATAATAATACATATTTCAAATAGATGAAATATTGAATATTGAACATTATTGCATTCTAAAAATAATCAATTGACATAATTATGTTGTCTAAATGGAAAGACGCTAGTCTTTTACTTCATTTTCATCTTTTGTTTAACCATTTTCAAATTCAACAATTTGAAAAAAAAATTCATTAAAGAATCATGACTATTCAAGAATCAAAATAGTGGCGTCCATTATAAATTAGGTTGCAAACATGAATGAAAAAAGAACAAATAAAAAAATTGATTTGGAGAAAACATACTGGCCAACATGTTGAAACAAAAAATTAGAACCTAACAAACTACTCATGAAAGAATTGAGAGCAATAATCAATCGGTGATGCGAGAGTGTTTGTCGTGATCTTTAACTTTAGACAACGCAAGGTAACCTTTAGACGACATTAGAGAGAGAGAGAGAGAGAATGAGTAAAGAGATTGAGTTTTTATTAGGGTATGAGTTCATCTGTAAACAAAATGATGTCGTTTTACTGTTTTGCAGACAAAACGACATTGTTTTGCCAAAAAATTGGGTTTTTTTTTTTAAAAAGTGATTAAATCGTGTGATTCGTGAGATACGAATTAAATCGTGCAATTCGTGAGATACGAATTGAATCGTACGATTCAGGTGCGATTCAACTCTAAAACGATTCTCACATAAGATATGAATCGTTTTGTACGAGTATTGAACCAAATCGTACGAATCGTATTGCGAATCATGCAATTTTGATAACTATGGTGTGGAGTTATATTTTTCAGTCTTTGTCTTTGGTTTCTTTGATAATTGGGCTTTTAATGCATGGCAGAATCTAGGATTGGAGGCAGCCGGGGTAAAAATGAAAGAGAATGGAGCAATAGAGGTAGTGCCTTTTGATTATCTAGAGTATTTTTTGTATACTCTCTCTCTCTCTCTCTCTCTCTCTCTCTCTCCACATATAAATATATACACACACCCACACTCACACCCACATATGTATATGCCTATTATTTGCTCAGAAAATTGTTTCCTCTTCATTGTTTCTTCAGGTTGATGAATATTCCCGTACATCAGCTCCATCAATTTGGGCGGTTGGAGATGTGACCGATAGAGTGAACTTAACACCAGTTGCTTTGATGGAGGGAGTGGCATTGGCAAAAACTCTGTTTGCAAATGAACCAACGAAACCAGACTATAGGTGCTCTTCCTATCTTGTGATAAAATATTTGATAGCTTTAAGAATGACGATAGACCTTGTGGGCTGCTGATGTGGAGATCAACTTATTTTCCTGATAAATGTGCTCGCAATTCATGAGGGCTTCAATTAATCACTAGAGTATTCATTTTACTAGCTGATGACAAAAGTTTAGGTGGGATTGCAGTTCAGTGATATGGAGTTAATTTGAAAATTAGTAGCTTTTTGACCGCATAATTTTCTGCATATGAGTAGGGCCATACCATCTGCCGTGTTTTCCCAGCCACCTATTGGACAAGTTGGTCTTACTGAAGAACAGGTAACACAAATTGCTAGTCGTAAATGCATTAGCTAATTAACGTCTTGCGTTTAACGTACCAAGCATTTACAGGCTATCAAAGAATATGGTGATGTTGATATTTACACAGCCAACTTCAGGCCCTTAAAGGCTGCTCTGTCTGGCCTCCCTGACCTGATTTTTATGAAACTACTAGTATGTGCAAAGTCAAACAAAGTTCTGGGGTTGCACATGTGCGGAGAGGATTCAGCAGAAATTGTGCAGGTAATTTAACAAGAAAAACAATTGTGCTGGTAGCTGCGGTATGTCAGCTTAGTGCTTTGCTCAAATTTTAATTGTAAACGATCTGCAGTTCATATAGTTAACTTTTTCAAATCCTCAGGGATTTGCAGTTGCTGTGAAAGCTGGCTTGACAAAGGCAGACTTCGATGTCACTGTGGGTATCCACCCTACATCAGCAGAGGAGCTCGTCACAATGAGGACTCCTACCCGGAAGGTTAGGAGCAGTCCATCTGAGGTTTGTCTTTGACTCTAAGCCATCTCTATTTTTCAAATTGTTCGTTAGCTGTTCCAGAGATATTTCTTATTTTCTTTCTGCTAGTTGGTTATTTTCACCGGTTGGCACCCCTCACTTTCTATAACATGCAAAGATGTTCATGTCTAATTTTTTCATGTTCTTGAGTTTATTTTCTTTTAGTTATGGATGGTGTAGGTCATTAGCTTTGTTGATTGATAACCTTTCTTGTCAATTGCTTTCAGGGGAAGTCATATTCTGAAGTTAAATCTGCTGCAGGAGTTTAAAATGAGTTATGTCAGAACAACCTGCCATTTTAGGTGAGAACTGCTGCACAGGGTATTTTTATGCCCTTTAAGGAATGATAATTTAGGGCAAATTCTATATAGTGGTTGGGATATTATAATTTTCATGTAGTGTTGGCATAATGTGTTACCTTGGAAATTCTGTCCTAACTTACAGAAACTATGACATGTGCTCCTAATTCAAGGGTTGGCATGTGAAAATTGTCAGTCAAGCCATATTTCAATACAAAAGGGCAAATATTTCCTTGGAATCTCCTTTCCTTCCTCCTACCCAAAACAAGCCTTACTCAGAAACCCCAATTGATGAAATAACATCACTATAGCAAAACTTTAAATCAAACTCTCCAAAACCCACATTGAAATTTGAATCAAACTCTCCAAACCATTGGAATTTGAAACCAATCGAGCCTCACAGTGCAACAACATTGATTGCAGAAGGGAAGAACTAGAAACTGTAACAAAATTTTCAACCCTGCAACAAACTAAATTCAATCCTCTCTGTCTTTCTCTAGTTCTCTGAAGATTTCATCAAGCAAGGGTTGCCCAGAGGAACAGGTGGAATGCACCTTTTTTTTTTTCTTCTTTTGTGTGTGTGGTGGGGGTGGGGGTGGGGGTGGGGGGAGCAAGTTGCAGTGGTGAGAGGTTATGGGCCTTTGCCATCTATTGGGTTTGGGTGGTCAGAGGGTGGAGAAGGCAGTGGAGGATGGGTGGTGACTTTGGCTCTCTCTTTCTCATGTTCACAGCAAGTGTGGAGGAGGTGGAGGCCTGTTGAGTTGGTGATGTGATGCCATGCCATGCAGGGGGCAGTTGTTGCGGTGGGTTGTATTGTTGGCCATTGTTTGGCAGCTCGATGCTAGTTGTCAAGGTCATTTTGCTACCGCCATTAATGGTATTAGTTCATGTCAGTCTGAAACTACATGACAGTGATGTGATAACCGTAAATGTATATGTGAACCATAAGGGGGTGGGTGCAGTGCTATTGAGCTAGACCACAAAGTGATGTTTGTCCTTTATTTTATTTTGGTTCATGCAGACCTTTTCATTTATTTGTTTCTTTATGTTGTTTGATATGCATTTTCATTGTAAGCTCTAAATAATAATTTTCCATATGATGGGAAAGAATTGTGGTTATCAGTATTCTTTATAAATTCATCAACTTCACCTTCTGCTGTCCTAAAACTTCTGTAGTTTTGGCAGGCTCACCAGGTGGAGAATTGGAAGTCAATTCCTGTGAATCAAATACTTTATGGAAACTCATTTTCAGAGACAACAGCAATGGAGCATTCTCAAGCAAGCGCAGGAAAGGTTTCAAGTTGGGACCAGTGACGAGATTTTGTAAAGAGAAGAAGTCTTGAGAATTATTTGTTCTGAAATCTTCAGTAATTCTGCAGTTACCAAGATGAGTGATTGTTGCTTTCAAAACCGTCATATAGTACGTTATTATTATTATTATTTTTTTGATGAACATACTTTGTACAGAAGGATTAGAAACCACACATTTTAGCCACAGATACCCAATATTTATTGTGATAGTTTCTATATAAGACTGTCGAAAAGATGATTTTACCGTTAAATCTGTCATTTTCGAGCGAAAACTGTTTCGGATCTTCAAGCTAACTACTTTGTCGCCTATATTAGAAGTATTGAGTTTACGTTTTTTGCGAATCTCATTGCCACCACACTTGGCTTACCTAGGCAGATCTATTGCCTCTTCTCAATGTATTGATGACTGATCTGTATGGTATAAACCATCCCGAACACTCGTGTCTCTTTGCTCCAACATAGAGTTGAGATAAAGTTTAAACTTACTATCTTATCTTCCTGCCATTCATGGACATCGCTAAGCCCTCGCCATACAGCAGTTTACTTGCAACATATTTCGGATTAAGATGTAATCGAAACTTCTGCGTGGCGATTTTCCTCGATGAGTTAATGCAGTCGGCCAAGTGACCACCATACTCTATTATTGCCCCCTCCTTGTACAAGAGTCATGGAACTAACAACCTCACTTCCTAAAGAGAAATAACAATCTCATAAAGAGCAATGTTATTTGAATATAATTTATTAACCTAATAATGTAGTATGAGTAACCAAATTTTGATATGTTATTCGAACGTGGTCAATGTCGTTCAACTGTTATTTACGTAAAAATCAATGATTTATTTTCATTATTCATTTTTGTTCTTTAAACTTTTTTTTCTACCCACTTCTCGAGAAAATATCTATTATAACAGTAATACCACGTGACAAGATGATGTGATATCACTAGCCAATAATAATAAAACAAATAAACAGATAGACCCCACAAAAATCAATAACTAACCTGTCATATAAGTAAATAACTCTCCACTCTTCTGCCATGTAAGTCCAAGTGGGGTTCATCTTCCTCATTTAGGGTTTTATTATTGGTTGATAATACCATATTATCTGACATGGTACCACCATTGCATTCAATATTTACTCTCGCTTCCCTGCATCACCTAATTATTCATAATTATTAAATTAATTATGGGTCTTAGTATTTACTTCGACTTACGACCAATTCAATATTTGTGATGAATTAGGTCAACAAATTAAATTCAAATAACGTTATCGCCTCGCGAATATGTAATCAAGAAATCCTAAATCAAGGAATCCCATCGTAGAAAAAGAATAAATAATTGTAATCTAAAGGCAGGCATAGATACAATAGAAAACAAGTGCATTAATTATTGCATTTATTACACAAACCATTGATACATTAAACAAGCAAAACAAACCAAGTCTTGGGGGGCAAGTTTATTTTTTTAATAATTCTATTTGGACTTAATTATTTAATTTAATTTGCTGATTGTTATCGTTGAATTGATAAGAAATTTCATCTATCATTGCAACCTAACCATCTGTCAATTCAACGATAGCAAGGACTTAGATTCACAAACTCACTCAGATAATTAGGTCCAATTAAGTATTATTATTATTTTGTCTCTGTCCATGATAAATACTTAAAATATCTCACTCACATAAATATATCAAACCATCATAATACAAACACGACCAAGCATCCTTCTCAATCCATCTCATGTAGCTGTTTTACTTTTGTTTTCAGTGGACTACAAAGATCCAAAGAGCAGGCCGTGGTGGAATAGAAGAACTCCTTTGATCAGGTTCTGTTCTTGCATTTCTCCATAGCTCTTGGTGCTGAATTCAAATGAGAGATTCATTAATACTAATATAGATCAAAAATATAATTTCACGAAATTGCACTTGATTAACTCAATAAAAAGTCGTACCTAATGCATAAAGTTCTATGAAAACAGGTTTGATAAAAGTAAGTTGGACAGTCTTATCTCCATTCTAAAAGGACGATTCTTAGACTCAAATCTGTAAAATATCACTTATTCACTTAGATGGATTAGTCCGACTTTTAGTGAAGTAGGGGTACGTTTTTTTGGGGGACTGATATTCATGGGATTGATTAATGTATTCTATATACTTTCAATACGGAGAGAAATTAATACTAGACATAAAAATTAAGGCAATCCCATCCCATGTTCGTTTGAGCAATATGTTTTATTGTAAAACCTACAAAAAAAAATATCTATTATGTCACATCTCATATTACAAATAGACTTATTTACCCGTAATACCATCTATTCCATAGATGAGAAGGAGTATTATAGTCGTTTTGGAGTTTTATACCATCGGTGGCCCTTAAGTCCTTAACCTGCTTACATATAGTCATCTACATGGGTTTACCGCCACTGTAATAGCCGGGTCAGGAATAAGATCCGAAAATTTATACAAATGTTAAATTACTAAACAAACAAGGTATAAGTAAATCCCATGTACTAACGTACTATATCCCACCTCCTAATACCCCACTTATCCCCAAACAAAAACACCCTAATAGAATAACTTTAATGAAGTAATGGTGGAAAATATATATATACTAACCAAGCCCTATGGCATCCGCTCCTTTCATTATGCGCACACGCTTGCAGGAATCAACAAACATGCTGGTTGAAATGTATATATCAAAGAAAAGTTAGCATGTTTTTGTAGAATATGAAAAGATTTTCATTCAACAAGAGAGACGAGGAAGCTCTTACTCCCATGGCACATCCCCAACAAGCATCCAATCACCATCCCTGTCTTCATAAGTTGGAACATAATCAGAACCATTCAAAAGATCCATCAGCTTGCTCTCGTTCATGAAATCTTTCATTCCTTGGCTTCCGCAATTACCTTCAGTATGAAGAACCATGGCAATAAGAAACAGAAAACTAAAAAAGAATAACTATTATTTTGTAAATAAAAGAGAAGAAAATGTTTTAAAATTTTTTGAATTCTATAGATATAATCTTTTATAGGTTGAACTACGTAGAAGATTGTTAGTAGATTGTATTATATTTAGTTTGTTTCGTATCTAAGTTATGTCCTATCAATATTTTAATTAAATTATACTTGTGTATCATAGGATTCGTATTATGTTAGTTGAATTCGTGTCAACCAACAAGTTCATTCACGTACCACTTAAAATGGTTAAGGCGAAATTTAATCTGCTAATTCTGATGTTAATTTCGTTTCAGATTAATGATTGTGTCTGAAATTCTCAGACATGCATTTTATAACTGTTGAAATTTGACCAAAACTCTCTAATTATTATAAAAAAGAGTTTGTTGGGTAATTAATGTAAGAATCATGAATTGAATAGAAAACATATTGGAAAAGTCTTAATAAACAATTGATAGAAAATATAGAGATTTAGCAATATCCAATTTGTATTGGGTTATAGTATTTTGTTCTTATAAATAGAGTTGAGTACCAAATAACCAATTTTTTAAGTGAATAATACATTGTTGTAAGTTTTTGATCCATAAATATAAATACGATTTATGAGAAAAGTTTGTTGTATCGAATCACATTATATCTTTGTATTTTTGTTTTATTGTTTTTTTTGTGCAAAACCAACAATATCCACAATCTCTTACTATCCAACAATATTTATCAGAAAAAAGAAGAAAATTATGAACGAAGTTGATGATCATGATACTTACCAATGGTGAAGGAACTGAACATGTTGGCCAAGGCATCAGAGAGTTCTTGATAACTCCTGTACATCTTTAGATCCACTTTCCGAAGGTATGGTGCTCCATCCAAGCTAACTTTCACAAAGGCAGCACTGCCGCTAACCTTCTCTCTCTCCTCGTTGCTGTTCTTTTGGACTGCTACCATATTCTTTCGGTATGATCGGACCGGTGGCCAACCCACAACTTGTGCCCTAAATTCCCAGTAAAATAGTATTCATTTCCATTTGATGGTTTTCGTATCCGCAATCCGCCTCTTAATAACGGGACTAAGGTCGTTTACCACTTAATTCTTTCAAATTTTGTGATGGGCGAGAATTACGACTTTTAATTTATTTATTTGATGGCTTTGCACAAGCAAGATATATTTTTTATTCCCTTAGGACTTCAAAATGTAATGGGATTTTGCAAGTCTACCGCTTGAACATTATCTTTACATATACAAAAAGTATGATTAAAGAAATGCCAGAATTGGTAAATAGGAAAAAGAATGGTTTGTTTTTCTCTAGTAAATTGAAAGTCTTTCAACCCTTTTAGGTTAGGCAATGAATATCTTACTCTTAGAGTAAAAATATAATTATACGTCTAAATTGAGTCTACACATTCTTGACCGTTGAACTTAAAAAAAAGAATCTTGCATTAATTGTTCTGAGCTTAAAATTTTTTGATGTTTTTTTTATTCTTGCTAACCAACATGAGGAATCCTTGCATTCAAATGAAGAAGCATTAATTTTTAACAAATATAATTATAATTAGCTTAATTTGCAAATTTGATTGAAAAAGAAAATAGTGATTTTTAGGTCTTATCAATTCTCAATTTGTGTAGCTATTTTATGCCAAGAAAAGATTCATGTAAACTAACTAGTAAGTACACTTTCTAGATGATAATGTGGGAGAAAAATGAAAATTTTAATTAAGTGTATGATTTGTATTATGACTTTGGGGTTGCAAAATAGATTATATTTTTCACTTTGAGAAATTAATGTGAGAAAAAATCTGGCACAACAAAGTTTGAGTTTTCTGTTTTAAAATGTTATTTTCATCTAAAGAGTGTATTCAGTATACGAGACTTTCGTAGAGTTTGAAAAAAATCATATGTAGTCTTACCTTTATAAATAGAGAGACTATTTTTACACTTAAACTTATTACTTTCGTATTACAAAGTAACAATCTTACAATTTCTCACAATTTTATTTCCAAAGAAAATTTGTAGTTTCCAACTCCAAAGATGATGATTGGTACTGCAGTCTCTCCGTCTGCCTCTCCCTGTCTCTCTGTGTTTCTCTCTCTCTCTCCCCTTAATTACTACGTAAGCAAGCACTAAAGTGAGCCATAAGAAAAAGAGAAGCGGGGAATAAAAACAAAGTTAATTAACTTACTTGGCCGGAGACTTCACTGGATCATTGGAGCAAATAATATTTTTCTCCTTTGCCAAATTCTTCCCTTTCTCTTCTGGAACCATATCCGGTTCCTTGGATGAAAGGTTGAGCTTCAAATCCACAGTTTCCGCGAACAATCTCTTCCCATTACCATTACTATTATACTTGGTCAGTTCGTCTTCACTTCCTCCTCCGCCTGGCAACCCTAGCCGGAGCTCCGTCGCCTCGAAATTCAGCTTTCCTTTCTCGCTTCCTTCGCTGATCATGTTCACCATTTTCCGGCCAACTTCCATGGATTTTCACAGCAACAAATAATCTCTCTCTCTCTCTCTCTCCTTGTAATTCTTGGACTGGTTGAGAGGAAAAGTGAAAGTAAGTTTAAGGATATAGAGGAAGTGAGGACGATGATAGAGGACGTAGAAAGCGAAGAAGTATGTGTGTGTGTGTTTGGACCAAGGGGGTATTGATTTACTGACGGGCCGCATTGTTTGTCTCTTACTTACTAAATAATCTATTGTGGCGGTGTTGACATGTGGCTAAATTTCTGAGCTGGAGCTTGCAACCTTCGCCGGTTAAATGACGTCATTGTCACGGCAACGTAGAGCGTATTCATCTTATACCTAATATGCATGTCTGAAAGACATATAATATTCACCATTATTACTCTCTGTGAGCATCGAATCAAATTATTATTTACAAAAGTCTCTTCTTCCAAGAATTTAGTTTTTTATAAGTCATTGAATTATCACTTTTCGAGCGTCCTTGAACTTAGGCCTGTGCTTTATACTATTTCTGGAGAGTTAACGTAAGATCGTTAGTTATCAATTATACCATTTGTTGTAAGAAAAAAGAGCCCAACGACTCAAGGTCGGCCTAATATACATGTCTGAACCCATGCTCACTTTAAAACTTAAGCGTATATCTATATAATAAAGCAGGGGCAGAGCTACATGTAAAAGGCTGGGGCAGTTGCCCCCACCGAATTCTGAGCAAAAGTCCGTGCATTTTTATAGGTTCAAAATTTTAACCAATATTACCCCTAATAAATTTAAAAGTTTATATGTTGCCCCCATAAATTTTTAGAAATTTATAGTATCCTAATTGTTTTTATTTTTGATAAATCAGTGGTCTACTCACTCTCTTAATTAATCTATGAAGACATATTTTAATTGAGTAAAATAAACATAAAATATCCTTACGCATACATATTTATTAAAGACAATATCGTTTGGATTGATATTGATTTCTTGATTTTCACGAAATAGTTAAATCTTAGATCTTAATATTTTTCTTATATTTTAGCTTAAGAATTTTTTATTTGAAAATAACTCTCAATTCAATTGTCTTTAACAGAG